GTGTCCTGCCTACTATGGCTGAACCCATGGTTCATCGGTAGCTTTACTGTAACTAAACAATGAAGTTCTCCACTTAACCTGCTCAGGATAGGAGATACTGCCAAAATTTGTATTTTTCTTTCTTCACTTGGTTCCTGAGGTGTTGTTCTGTTTTCTTTTGTTTTTTTGACACTCCATTAGAATCTGATGGTTTACTGTTAGTCTTATTGTTATCTCTAGGAACATTCTTGGGCTCAAGCTGACCTCTTTGACTATTTATTCATATCAGTAAAAACGGAAACATAAACTCTTTCTCTTAGCCAAACGGAATAATATTCATGTAGTTGACTGTATTAAGGGTGGAGTAGGGAACTCTATAGCATGAAGTTAATATAGAACAACTATTTAGCTCCCAATCTATATGTTCCATTGAGAGATGGCTTTCTTATTTTACTATAGTAAGGCCTTGAAGTTGGTTTTCTTTTGCATAATTTGAAAAGACTACATTATGCATTGGCTAAAATATTTATGATGAATTTGGTCTTGACATCTCAATATTTATTATATGAAAAGGAGTACATACCTTATTCTGCATGGTGTCTGAGGGGAAGCCAAATGATGCTTGTCTCCTTCTTCCAGGTACTTAGAAACAGTTGGAAACGCCCCACAACTCAATGGAAATACAAAGAGTAGATCTGGGAAGCACAACTGAGATGTAGCTTTATACATGGTCAGCTTTAATACAGAGTATCCTAGGAGAAAGTGTGGGGTCAACAAGAACAGGCAGAGAGAAGGGCAAAGGACCCAGGGAAGTCCTGTATAAATCCACTATAAGTTATAGGTGAGTCACTCCCCATCATTAGGTCTTTGCTTCATAGGAAAATCAGGACTCTCCTGAAGGACCTGTGCCGACTTTCCATCTCTAACACTGCTTGGCTTTAGGGAATGAGCTTCAGTAACTTGAGGACTTGAAGACTACGTCTTAATTAATTATTGTTCAGCCATGAAGTCAGGAAAAATACATGTCTCTTCTCTTGGAGGTGAAGACACAAGATCTTTAGTCAGAAGCAGTTTTGGAGACTCCATGGCCCAGGTCCTGCATGCACGTTGGCCTTTGTCGAGGGACACTACTGAGGACTTTTCTGGAGACTCAAATATTTGTGAATTATCTTCCTACTTGAAGAAGAATGTGTCCTGCTGGGTGTTGGTGGTGCATGCCTTTAATTTCAGCACTCAGGAGGCAGAGGTAGGCAGATGTCTGTGCATTCAAGGCCAGCCTGGTATACAGAGCAAGTTCTAGGACAGCCAGAACTACACATAGAGAAACCCTGTCTCGGAAGGAAAAAAGAAAGTGCCTTCCACACTCAGAGAGCCAGTAAGTGTGCTAGCAGTGATCCAACATGAGGTCATAAATCCCACTGAAATTGGCAAGGTGTCTACAGAAACTCATCTCTGTAGGTCCATTTCCTTATAGACAGTTTTATTTCCTCAGTTCTTAAAGCTTATTGAATATTCTATATGGCATGTACTTTAGCATCAATGCTCCTGAGGTGTATCTGTTTCTTTGAGCTTGTCATTTTCCTCTTTCCCATTAAGCATCTATATTTCAGGGTCCCGTGTAATTCACCGAAGCGTTTATCATAATTTCTAAGCTGAAGTAAAATCCTTCAGTAATAGGTATAATTTTCATCAAAGGGTTTCTTTCCTTTTCTCATTGTTAGGGTTCTGTTGCTTGATATGAAATGGGAGCTGCCTGTAGTTAAAACACTCTGGTTTAGAAGGATGAATAAAAATGATTCAGGCCATTTAGTAGCTTTCCTTTTCCTGCACCAGCTTCTTAGGAAGTCTTCTTTGTTTGCCAGGCCCTCCCGACTCACTTCCTCCAGACCTACATAGGAAATGGACATAGGTGTTGTTCCTTAGGTTCACTTAACATATCAGAATACTTAAAAACTCTTTGGTCCATGAATAGATCTTGAGAAAGCAAGACACAATATGCAGTTATGTTACTTTTATTTCTAGTTTCTATCTAAATTTGAACTTAATTCCCTTTCTCATTTTTCCACCATCTGATCACGTCTTTGTGCTGGTTTCTGATTACAAGCCAACTTGTAATCATTCAAATATTCAATAAACCTACACTAAGCTATCTTCATGTTAAAAGCCATTCTGAGTACTATGGATTCATTCTTGAACAAAACAAATAAAATCCCTTCATTGATGGAGTTTGTATTGTAGCGAAAGATAAAGCATTAAAAGAAGAGAGGGAAATACAGAAGAGAGAAAGATATGACCCAAAGAGAAAAGTAACAGGGAAGGAAATGCTGGGGCTGCAGGCAGTTGAGTTTTAAGAAGTACGGTCAGGCAAAATACCAAAATGATGACATTTCATCAAGGAAACAAGGGCATAAGATGCATGGATAACGGGCAGTAGATTTTTGTTTTTGTCTTCAGCATCTGGAAGAATTGAGTTGTTGATTATGGAGAGGTGAAAGGCGGGAGAACAAGACATCTGGAGTCTGTTGTTGGCTGTGATGTCTCAGAAATATTCAAATGGAGATGTCAGCAGGCACTTGAGAATCTGGAGTTCAGGAAATGGGTCAAGACTGGAGGACATAGAAAGAGATTGTTCTAGTCAAGGGAATTAAGACACTTTTATTGCAGATTGGTTATATTTAACTGCTCAAGTGACATGTACTCAACGTCCTGTTTATTGCTAACAGGCTGTTCACTAACTTTTCTTCTTCTTCTTCTTCTTCTTCTTCTTCTTCTTCTTCTTCTTCTTCTTCTTCTTCTTCTTCTTCTTTTTTCCGAGACAGGGTTTCTCTGTGGCTTTGGAGGCTGTCCTGGAACTAGCTCTTGTACACCAGGCTGGCCTCGAACTCACAGAGATCCGCCTGCCTCTGCCTCCCGAGTGTTGGGATTAAAGGTGCGTGCCACCAACGCCCAGCTGTGTAGCTCTTCTTAATGGCGGTCTTTTATTATATATTTTAAGGTTCTTTGTCATTGTTCTCATCTAGAGCTGGAGCCTGCGTCCCCTCCATTTGAGCCATAGGCAGGCCTTTCATACTATCTTGACCAATTGGGCGTGAAAGAAGTGATGTGAGGTATTTCCAAGCCAAGAGCATAAAAAAATGTAGTTTCTGTGTCTCTTTAGCATTGTCATCTTTGGAGCTGAATCAGCATGCTATGAGAAGGCTCAGGCCACGTGAGAACATGCATGAGCTGAGGTCAGACTCCCTGTTTCTAGACTGAGTTAAGTGAGATGGTAGGAGCGATCCTAAACATGGCAGGTACCATGCCAAGCGCAGATGCAGCAGTCTGAATATAAAGGAGAAAATGAGCTGAAACCAGCATCTCTCTCTCTCTCTCTGTTTCCTCACTGCAGATGCAACTTGACCAGTGGCTTCACACGTAGGCAGACTAGACTTTTGTACCACAAGACAAATGCTTTCTTACGTTGCTTTTGTCAGGTGTTTGGAAATTACAATGGGGGAATTCACTAAAATGAGCTTCCTCTGTTAGCACTTTGTAGAGAAGACACCATCATTCTCCACAAAGCCCTACTCAAACCACTTTGTGCCAAAATAAAAATGCTATTGCTTCAGCTACTGCTCAGAGTGCTAATGATCACAGAGACTTCATTTGCGAGGTGGATAAAGTAGGGTCGTATGTTGTTCTTGTTCTCTAGATCGATGCATTCCCAGTGTGTGAGATTCTCTGAGGGCATACAGTAGTTGCTCACTAATTGTTCTCAGTAAATGAATCACATTGAAGCAGGAGTGGTCATCTCTCCGGTTAAAGGGAAGAGTTTGTGAGCACTAAGAAAAAGTTCCTGGTTTTGAGAAACAGAGTTTAGCTTAGAAGAAACTCAGTTCAGGGAAGGCAGTTCGTGTATGCATGAGAAGAACATGATTGCTCAAGAAAACTTATTAGCAAAGAGAGTCATTTACTTTAGAAATTACTGCGAAACCTTTTCAAGTAAATAATGTTTGAAATGAGATGCTATTCGGCCCCAGAAAGGGTTAGTTGCTGGAGAATAGCATTTGTTACTTTAATCACCACTGTGGGGTTTCATTTTCTGACTTGAGTGGCAAGTGCAGGGAACGAAGCACATTAAAATGAAAGTGCCGCTATTACATAAATGATATGTACTCAATTTTCCTATGTGTAGAAAATCATACCACTGCAGGGCCCTTAAGATGTTTGTGGGCAAGGAGGCAGCAAGGGAAGAGAATGGACTCAGGATGTGTTAAACTGTGAAAAATTAGTCTTTTTATCATTTTCACTTGGTGAGCTGCATATTTTTCTTAGGCCTAGTGGCACTGTAGAAGACCCTCATTCCTCACTAATGACAAAGGGACTCCCTGATTTTGGAAATCAATTTGAAATTCTGCATTGGATACCCCTTTATTTTAGTTTTTGCTGTATTTTTTTAGACACTATTGTCTTAAAAATTTTATATGTAAATACCCTAGGAGACCCTATTATTACCTTATGTTACAAATGAGGAAACTGATTCCCAGTGGAGGATGAACCTGCCTCAAGTCTGAGCATGTGTGAACCGTGTGCATGCCTAGTGTTCACAGACAGCAGAAGAAAACACCAGAGACAGCTGATGGGGGAAGTACTTCTGTGTATGTTTATCTTATTGATTGTTAAATGAAATACTGTTTGGCCAATGAGACAGCAAGTTAGACGGGACTAGGAGTCAAAGAGGATTCTGGGAAATGTAGTAGAGAAGTGGTGATCCAGGCAGGAAGTGACATAGCAAGGAGACTCATATTTAGCAAGGAAACAGGAAGTGTTCTCCCTTTTCCCCTTGCTCCTCCAGCAGCACAATGTGATCCACCGGCAAGGAGGGACGCCAATAAGGTGTCCGATAAGATAAGTCTTATAGAATATATAGGTTTATGATAGTTAAGACTGAGCTAACAGATGAGAATCCTAGTCATTGGCCAAGCAGCTTTGAACCTAATACAAGTTTCTGTGTATTCATTTGGGCCTAACTCTGGGTGGGTGGCTGGCATAAAACACACATGTGGCAGTGGGGCTCGGTGGCTTTAGGAGGACGGCTATGAGCTGCCATGTGGGTGCTGAGAACTGGACACAGGTTCTCTCCGAGGGCAGTAAGTGTCCTTAACTATCTCCAGCCTAAGATGCAACATTCTTGAAGTAGGTTCTAAACAGTCTTTCACTGAAACCAAAACAAAGCATTGATTTGCTGTCAAAGATACCGTTTCAAATAATACTTATAACAGCATATTTTTTCCAAAAGAGAATAAACATTCTTATTAAGTTATTAAATATGTTGATGAAAACTTTCAGCTGTTGTTGTGAACATGTTAGAGCAAGTGATGTGGACCACAAAATATGAAATAGTGGTAGGTGAAGTTAATCTACACAGCTTAAAACTAGTAGAAAGTAAATGCTAGGCTTTGAATGTATGCATCCTTCCTCAAGTCCGATGTTAATTCTAACCCTCAGGTTGATGGGTTCTAGAAGTCGTCTATGGGAGTGCAGCTCTCATGAATGGGACTACTATCATGTTATAGGAGCCCAAGAGAGACTCCTTAACCTTTCAACATAGGCGTACACAACTAGGAATTTAGGTGATCACCAGACACTGAACATTGTATATCTTTGACTTCCCAGTTTTGAGAAACGTTTCAATTGTTTGCAAACAACCCAGGTCCTGCACTGTGCTACAGTAAATTAAAGCATCACCCACACCAACTGTTGATGGTACTCATTGCTGAGTAGTGGCTCAAGAGTCGGCTCTTTCTCCTTCTCCATGCTGTGTGTCCCACAGCTAACAGGTATCCTTACAATCACCATGCAGGCTAATAAAACCAAACCAGGAACCTAATTTCCTAACTCAGGGGAATGGTCTAGGTTGAAGCTATTGACATATATGAATGAGAAGGAATACTTCCCATGTGGCTATTATTAACTCAATGTGGAGAGGAGATGGATGAGCCAGAAACTCCGGAGCCTCCAGCATCTAAAACGTTCACGGCTTATTCAAAAGGGCTGTGTTTATTTTGAACATAGTTTTAAGTCTCAAGGGATTATCAATGGCTCCAAAATAAGAATGGGATATAGGAAAATCACACACACACACACACACACACACACACACACAGACTTTCTCTCTCTCTCCCCCACACAGTCACACACATATCTCTCTCACATACACAGTCACATGCAATCACAAACTCAAAGCCCACATAGATTGAGAAACAGATCTGAAGAGTATTGAGTTGAAAGGACTCAAGAAAGGAAAAATAATAATATAGTTATGTTGGAAAGCCTGGCAGTCTTTGACAATATGTATGTAAAAAATATTTTTTTTAAAAAAATTAAAAACTTTAATCCTAGCACTCGGGAGGCAGAGGCAGACAGATCTCTGTGAGTTTGAGGCTAGCCTGGTCTACAAAGCTACACAGAGAAACCTTGTCTCAAAAAAACAAAACAAAATTTAAAAACTTAATCTTATTTTATGTATGTGAGTATTTTGATGTCATATGTGTGGCACACGCATACATTGCCCAGGGAGGTCAGAAAAGGACACCAGATATCCAGGAACTGATGTTACTGTTCTTTGTGAGCTGCAATGAGGTGCTGGAATTGAACCTGTGTCCCCTAGAAGAGCAGCCAGTGTTTTTAACCACTGAGACATCTCTCCAGACTGCATTGTTAAAGCTAGCCACCAAGGTCTATTCCCTTATTTGGCTGCTTCCTCCTCCTGAGACTGGCTACTTCAATACTACCAAAGTATTTAAGTCTAGAAATCAAAAGCCCCCTGTGGTTGCCCTAATTAATTTGTCCAATCAAAATTAAACACCTCATCCTAACACGTGGTTTCCCCTCTTACCTTTGTAAACTGCCATTTGCCTATGGGCCATTCCTGTCTCCTCTCTATCCAGAGGCAGTCCTTTGTCCCTCTGAGACAAATACTCCTTCCTCTCTCTCTTGTTCCCTTCCCCTTATCTCTTGTCCTCTGTCTCCTGTCTTTGTCTCGTATTGCCTGCCTTTTGTCACTCTGGGGCAAATTTATCTCTTGTGTGCTGAGAACTTGGTCTTGGATGTCTTGTGCTAAATACCAGTCCCTCCAAGCTGGCCTCATGCTCTCCCTGCCATGATGGGACTATTTCTTCTGGAGCCACAAATAACCCTTTCTCCCCATAAGCAGCTTTGGTCAGAGTATTTCATCACAGCAACACAAGAGGAATGCATACAGTGGAGCACCATTTGAGGTAAGCTAAGGAAAAAACAAGCTGTCTTTGTTAGTATTCAGGCATCTGTACTGCCTGCCCTTGAGGTTCTGACAGGACACACGCTCAGCTGCAGCCACTAAGAGCACCACCTGTGCTCATTCACTAAGTTCCCTTTTAAAAGGGCCCTGCCCACCTCCCATCTCTGTCTCTGCCTGCCTCACTGTCTCCTCCCCCTTCCTCTTTTCTCTTCTGCTGCTCCTGTCCCCAGAGGTTGTTCTCCCCCACTCCTCCACCCTTTTCCCAATCACTTTTCCCTGATAAAAAGCCCCCCCACCCAAGCTCTGTAGCATGGGATCTTTCCCTCGAGCTCTGCTTTTTAAATTACAACAGTCGTTTCAGTGGCAAGGTCACTGAAAGTTGGTTTGCAGTGTCTCAGAAGTTCAGCAGTACTGTCGCACACACCTTCAAGGAGGCATTGCCTGGTGAGTTTTAGCTCACCCTGATTTCTGGCCTCATGCTGCTGCCACTATGCCTTTCCTGTCACGATGGCCTTTTGTTTGTGTGTTTGTTTGTTTTCTGAAGCCACAATAAACCCTTTCTCCCATAAGGCTCAGGCTCCTGAGACTCAGTGCCTATTGCTGTGGCCACTCAATACTCAGCCATGGGTTGAGGAAAACAATACATTACCTACTCCAAGGCTTGGGAACTTTGCAGAAGTGGCAGCAAGAATTTAAGGACTAGAGGAAAGACTGGAGTGTTAAGTAGCAATTTCTTCTGAATTGAAACAAACATTTTACCCTGGAGGGAGGGTCCTTAAGGCTCAAGAGGCTCTCAACAGCCATTCAGAAGAGGGGCCCCTGGAGACTCAGGAAGTCAACAATTCTAGGTACCAGGAAGTTCCTGAAATTTAGGAGATTGAAAACCTCCCTCTCCACTTATGAGTCTCTGCACTACATTTCTCATTACAGTAAAGGAGGCTGATAGCAGTAATTTGGGGGTGTAAATATTTAGAAATTAATTTGACAGACACATGTATTTAATAACCAAGGTTCCATAAGCAGTGAGGACCACTGGGAAGAAGAGACTCTTTGGCCTGCTGAACTGCCCGAGAGTCATGCAGAGAGCTCCAGGGATACAGCTTTGGTGAATCATCATCCAAAGAGGGGTAGGTTTTTTTTTTGTGTGATGCAGCTGCTTCTGAATCATCGACATTCATGTAACCTGTAACCCCTCACACATAATCCTGCAAGCAATCTCAGATGAACTCATTGGTTTGTAAAGTTTAACTTCAGCAGAATCCTCTCATTGGTCTGGTATAGGTTATCTACCCGAGACAAGTCAATATTCGTTTTTTATCTTTGCAGAACATATTAAAACAACGACAACAACAACTCACCAGCATAAAAACACAAATTGAACATCCTTCCCTCATCTCTCCTCCCTTCCTCTCTTTCTTTCTTTCTTCCTTTTAAATTTGGATTTTTTTGGGGGGAAACAAATTCATGCATACAATGAGATATCTTGTGAATGGTACCCAGACTTAGGCCTGAAATTTGTTTGTTTTATACATATTATACACATAGCCTGAAGCTGATTTTATACAGTGATTTTTGTTAATCTAATGTTTCTGGTGTGGGGTTTCCATATGAAATTTTATACCAGTGTTCAGAAAGCTTCAACACTGGGTTTGATGCCCAGCACGTGAAAAAAAAAAAAAAAAAAGTCTTAGAAGACTTCAGATTTTAAGTTTCCAGAAGACAATTGTTTGCAATGCCAGAAGATTCCTGCTATTTATAGTGAGGCATAGTAATATACTTAGTGATACCACCATAGGATTGAACTGAATTAGCAGTCAACAAAGAAGTTATGTCAATAGGATGGATCAGCTAAAAATAAAAAAGGTAGACAAAAAATTACTATGTAGGTGGTAAAGCGAGACAGAAGGTTTGGAAAGTGAACACTAACATAGACATTAAGTTTTAATACAAAAGAAATAAACAGAAAAATCTGAAATGTAAAATAGCCTTTGAACACGCGACAGTATTTAACCTAACAGGAGATAAATACAAAGTAAAGCTATTCTGAGAAAGCTATTCTGAGAAAGTAAAGCTGTTTGTCATTCAACCTGCTATTGGCACCAAAGTCCCTGCTCCAGCACCCCACTGTGTACCATCAAGATGAAAAACCTGTCCTGGAGGTTCCTTTAGACTCAGGAACTCAATGACTACAAATCTCAGCAAGTTCCTGAAATAATACTCACAAAGCCCCTCCCTCCTCAAGGTCAGATAAGCAGACTGCTTGGGAGAGAGGAGCCTGCAGAGAGCTGTGGGGTTTTATCTTTCCCAGAGTGTGGGGTGGCCTTTTTGTTGCTGCAGCTGTTTTTGAGTCAGTCATGCTCCTTCATCCATATTCCTGCCAGTAATCCCAATAAATTCAAGGGTTTGCTCAGCTAGACTTCCGGTGGAATTATTTCTTTGTGGTTGATAATCTATCTGGGGTAGAGGTGATTGTTTATGTTTCCCCAGGAAAGGTCACACAGTACTTCTAGATTGCAGCTCTGAAAAAAATATTTAAACTAAAACTTATGGTCAGTACAGCCATATTTGAGAGTTAAGTTTCATTGACATCAGCAGAACCGCATGCTATATTAGGGTTAGCCTACGGCATTTCAATTTGTCCTGTGTATTATCATACAATACTCATGCTTAACTGTTCTCAACGGAAAAAGGAGATCTGAGATTTTTTTTGGTGAAAATAACTTATAGTTGGGTGAATTTTAGCTGAGTTTGTCCACACTATAGTGGTGTACTGAAATGGAGAAGTTTTAGTTTAAAATATTGTGATGTAAAGCTAAAATGAACCTGGCTAATTCCTTAAAACTATTTTCTTTTCCTTTTTTAAAGATCAGTATTATTTGGCTTTCCCTTAGGTCCCAAGGCAATCTAGTCTCTGGTTCTTGGTTGCCCAAGCAGTGTCAGGATTGGGTTACACCTCATAGAGTGGATCTTCAGTTGTTGGTTGGTTACTCTCACAAGCTTTGTGCCACTGTTACCAGAGCTTGGCTGATTCTTATGTTCATGAGACACAGGACAACAAAGAAACAACATTTGTAAGAGCACTCAGATCTAGAGTGCTATAAGAGCCACTTTGAAACCCCAGGTCTCAACTATGATATGTGGACGGGACCATTGGGAAGTGACTAGGTTTAGATCAGGTCAGGTCTCAGGATGGACTTAGCATCCAAGAATGATGAAAGACTGGAGATTTTCAGGGAAGAAGCTAGGAAGAAGGCCCATCTAGAACCAAAACAACACCATCCCAATCTCATTTCTAGGTAGTAGGACTAGAAAAATGGGAGGTTTAAGAAATCTAGTCTTTGGATATTATTTCTTGTTGCAGCAGCTGGAATATAGATAAGCATTTTCTATACAAGATTGATTGTGTGCCTAGACCACTAAACTGTAGATCAGGGCTGGCAAGATGGTTCAGTGGGTAAAGATTCTTGTTGCCCAGCCTGATGACTTGAGTTTGATTCCCAGAATACATAGTGGAGAGAGCAGGTTTCCCAGCAAGTTGTTCTCTGAAATTCGTAAGTGCATTGCAGCATACATAACACACCACACATAAAATAAATGCTATAAAACAGTTTATAGATCAGTGGTTTGCAGCTTGTTTTCTTAAGAGATGTTTGGCAGGATCTGGACACTTGATCCCCGCCCCCCCAATTGGGAAATGTCTGCTGGAAATACTTTTGTTGTCTAACTTCTTGAGACAGGCTCTCACTCTATTGTCCAGGCAGGCCTTAGTCTCTTGCCTCCCACCCAAGTCCTGGAATCACAGGCATGTGAGACATTGTATAGCTCAGGAGACATTTCTGGTTGGCATTGGGCAGAAGCTGGTAAATGTCCTACAATGCTCAGATCCCCATGAATGCGAATGACTCTCCACAAACTGTGGGTAGTGGGTAGGTTCGGACCTTGCTGTAGAGGTAGCTTTAAGCATCATTTCTAGGGCTGAGGATGTATCTCACTTGGTAGAGAACTTACCTAGCATATAGGGAGCCCTGGATTCAAATCCCAGCACCCCACTTATGGGGCACAATAGTGCACGCTGTAGTCCTAGCACTTGGAAGGTGGAGGCAGGACGATCAGGAGTTTAAGGCCATCCTTGGCTACATGAGTTTGAGGCTAGATTGTAATACTTGAGACCCTACCTTGAAATAAAATAAAATAAAAGGTTTATTTCTCTACAACTTTTCTCTTTGTTTTTGTGTCTCACATTGGGAACATGACCACCAAGATGGTGCAGCACAGCCTTTTAAAACAGTAAGGACCATCAATCAGGCTTATGAAATATTTTACCAGCACTGAGAACTGTGTTCCCCACAATTTCCTCTTCAGGCTCACACGTAGGTGTGAATGGATTTTCACTCATCTAGATCACTAAATAATCAGCTCTTACCATCGAACCACACCAGTACAAAGGTGTCCCTCCAACAGCACATTTATCCACATGAAAACTCTATTTTATACAAACTGTAGAATGCTTAGAGGAGTTGCCTCCGGATGCCCTCTCTACTCTTTTCCTCCCCCACCCCGTTTTCATTTTCTTTCAGCATTGTTAAAGTGTTTTAGACTAGAGATACAAGGAACCTGCCTCTTTCCCCCACTACTTTCCCCACTCAATGTCCACAATCACCGTTAAAAAAAAAGTCTTGCCTGGAGTTATTTTATTTAATTTATTTATGTAATACAGTGTAGAAAGCTATCATGGCATAAGCAATGATTCTGTACAATCATCCTGCAGAAAATTATTTTTGGAGAATTCTTGGTGATTTGAGACCAGCAGAACACTCCCTCCCCCCACCCGTAAAAGTGCTGACGATGAACAGGGATTTTTTTTTTTTAATCAAAGATCCAAAGGTACATGGACAAAAAAAAAAAAAGTTCAAATTCTCAATGCCTAATGTGTGCACATAAAACAGGCACAAAGAAATCAATGTGTATCCTCGCACCCTATGCCACAAACAGAGCAGAGGCAGCAATCTGTACAGTAAATGCAATCATGGAAAAATTTTCCTAAATCATTTGGAATACTCAACAATGTTTAAAATGCATAGTGATCGGGAAAAGAACACTTAGACAGAGAAGCAGCTAAATGCCCACGTTCACACGAAGCATCCCCCATCGATTTTTAAAGCGTATTTCAAGTAGGAGTTAATTGTGTCACAAACCACAAGAATAATATACAACGGGCTATGGGGCTATGTGTGTGATAAATAATCAGGAGAGAATCTATTCATGCACTAGTTTGATACAGCTAATTTTTTTTTTACAGTACACAAAACCCATTAATAATGTAGTGTAGAGACCAGAATATAAAGAGAGAAAGAGAGAATACATTACTGATTTGTATATTAATTCAAGTTCAGGCATCTACTTGTGTTACAGCACGGCTGTCAAAAGGCGATGATGAGTAAATAATAAACCAGAAGGGCTTGTTTCTTTCCACGTTATTTTATAAATGAACACCGATGGGTAGTGAAGCAATGGTTTTGCTGTCCAAGTTCGGAGGCTGCTGCTGTGGCGGTTGTCTAGTTCTGCATCTGCTCAAAGAACTTATAGGTAGGATTCTCATATCCGTTCTGCTGCATCTTTGAGAGGTGGCGCTCCTCCGGGGTCACGGCAGCATCAACCTAGAAAGCAGGCATGAGACTCGAGTTTAAAACACACCGGCCCTGTAAGGGAGCCCGGCAGCATCAACCTAGAAAGCAGGTGTCAGACTCGAGTTCAAAACACACCGGCCCTATAAGGGAGCGCGGTACTACTGGGCAGTAATAGGACATAGTCTGCGGGGTTTTCTTTTCCCAAAGTGCATAACATCCACGCCTTTTTTTTTTTTTTTTTTTTTTGTTTTTCCAGACAGGGTTTTTCTGTAACTTTGTAGACCAGGCTGGCCTCGAGCTCACAGAGATCCGCCTGCCTCTGCCTCCTGAGTGCTAGGATCAAAGGCATACGCCAGCACTGCCTGGCTTAACATCCATGGTTTTATTATCTTTATCCTCCAATTTCTGACATTACACAGTAGAGTGTCCATGGCTTATGCCGATGCAACATCTAGCCACTAGGTGGTGCTGAAAATCTTGATGGTTTGCGCAGGGCCCATTGGCTGAAACAAATAGCTAACACTGAAGACATGGGGTGGCAAGCTAGAGAGAGCTTCACACAGAGCTCACTGTGACACTTAGAACTGGGCAGAGTATAATACTCAGCTCTCTGGGGTTCCAAGTATCTTCTATCATTTCAATATGCTTTTATATTTGTAGAAATGTTAGGGACTTCTGAGAACCTATTGATTAAAGTGGTAACATGTATAAAAGGAAAGCTATGTAGAGACATGCTGACTTACATGCTATATATAAAACACATGTTTTATACACATATATGTCTGTCTAAAATACTTACACATATATAATTTGCCATACTGGGGGTTGGATTCAGGGCCAGACCTGTATTCATGGAGACAGACAGACAGACAGACACACACACATACACACACAGACACACAACACAGATTCAGACACACAAACATCTACAGACACACACACATACAGACACAGACACACACACACAGACACACACACATACATACACAGACACACACACACACACACAGACACACACACACAAACACAGACAAACACACAGACAGACACACACCCACAAAGACACACACACACACACAAAGACACACACTTCCCTGAACCCTAAGATACATAGGAACTACAGCCAGCTAAGTCATCACAGGGATTCTGTTACTACTTCAGGGTTTGCCTGTTGGATCAGGTCAGCATTATAAACATGCTCTCCCTCAGCCATTTTCACGAAGAGCCATGCAGGCTGACAGTCTCCGAAGACCGTGCAGGGCACTTATCTCTTTACGGTGGCTCATGGCTGTTCTTGTTTCTATATTTGCACCACCTCTCCCAGTGAGAAGGGGAGGTGCTTGCTTCAGTCTGCTGAATTAATAAGAGCTCAGCCTCTGCAGAACCACTAGAAGATGAAGAGAACCTGCTCAGATGCACACAGAATAAAGCGTCTTTTCCCCGGGAAAGTTAAGGCATATTCTAGGGGCTGTATTTCAAAGGCATCCTTCTTACTCTGTCCAGGGCTGAACTGACCTTGCAACCTCAGTAGGACCCCATTTACCATGGCTAAGCATTGCCAAGGAACATCTGACAATTTACCCAGTGTTTTCCTTTCTGATACCCCCAATGTGGCACAGTTTGGATTCAGCATGGCTGTCTCATTGCAGTGGTGGCTCCTAAACCCCAATGCAGGAAAACAATAACAACAAAAAAACCAAAAACCAAAACCAAAGCCAAACAAAACAAACCCCCCAGAAAACAAAAAGCCGTAGAGCTCACGGTGTCAGCATTGAGCGACCAGGTGTATGGATAGACCTATATAGATAGGTCATGACTAGTCCCACCTAAGAAGTACCTCAGATGGAGAGCCTTGCAGACATAAATCCCTTCACAGCCACTGTGTGACCCTCACAGCGACTCTTTAGCCTGGGCAGGAGACAGACTTCATGATACAGTCACCATGCAGTGGAAACAGAAGCTTCCATGCTCTCTCTGCCCACAGGACAGTTCCTTCTGCTTATTGCCCCAGGCTCCTCCCATCGTCAGGAGGTGGTATCCTGATGGGAGCTGTTCTCATCTTCCCTCCTGTGAGAGTTGCCTGCAGTCCTGTCCCCGGGTTAGTCCAGTGACAGCTCTGGGCATTTCCTCCTAGAACAAGTGCTACCTAAGAGCCAGCGTTCAGACAACACTGTTCAAATGGGTGCTCAGCATCATTGCCCTTTGGGACAAACACACAGGTGTTTTTCCCATCTCCTCTCGTTTCCTGTGATCTGTGCTGTTGTCAACAAATGAGGTCACCTTGATTTAATTGGCAACTGTGTAATTGGCCACAGGCTTGCCAGCTGAAACGGTTTATCTGTACAGATTAATTCCCGAAGTGTGAGCATTTGGTCACTCTCCCGGTCTGCTTGCTAGGGACCGGACTGTCTGCAATCATATGCCATTTGAACTTGGGCATTCCCCCCTCCCTTTGTGTTACCCCATAATTGAGATTCCAAAGAAGGGAGTTAAAAAAAAAAATCTTGCTTCAGAGATCAAGCACGACTGCTGTTTCTTAAAGTAGGCAAATATACACAACAGCCGTCCGTGTGTTAGAATATATACCTTGAGGAGAAGCAGCAAACCTCTGCTACCTGTCAACAGTCACTTGCATTTCCCAAGAACAGCAGAGCACCTGCCTGTTTAATACTGTTATTTACTTTTATCTCTTCAAACTCCAAAACAAATGCTCAGGGGAACCCCACCAGAGACCCAGGCTCAGAGCTGGCTCAGCCCTGGCATCTCAATTCAGTCTTGTCTTGGTTTCTTTGATGTGCTAATCCTCGGTGCCCTTTGCTGCTGGGAAGCAGAGGTGTTCGAGATCCCTGCCATGGGGCAGCTTGGCCCTCAGTGTTTACAGGGCTCTGAGCTTCTCAAGGGATTGCTTTTACAAATGGCACCCGAGGAGAGGTGTCGGAATGGCACCTTTTAATCTCCAATCCTCTTGAATGCTGGAAGTGAATATTCATGTCTGTGGAGAAACCTCCGGCTCAACAGGCTCAACAGAGAGCAAGGGTGAGACTTCCTCAGAGCAAGGGCCCTCAATCCCTTCCTCACTGTCAAAGCTACCGCGAGGACTGTGCTAATCCCTTTATGACTAGGTGTGGCATGGAGAGTTCTAGAAGGAATGCGGGGACAGCATGGGATGGGGGACAGAATCTACTCTTCCAGGGGAAGGAACAGCCCCTTGTTGGAGAAGAAACCATGGGCATCCCGCTAATGTATAATCTCTCCCGTGATGTCTGGATTGAACAACAGAGGATTTGATCATCAGTCAGCCTGGCTTCAGGTATGGGACTCTGTCTTTCCCACACCCAAGCCTTTGCACAGCACAGCAGGTGGCTTCAATGGCCAATGGAGATGATGACAATGTAAAGAGCTGAGCCCATTCAGCCCAGACAGCTTTAAGAAGTAAAATCAATGTGCTGAGGGTTGAAGCCAGTGCATGCCAGGCAAGCACTCCATCATTGACCTAAACAGAGTTTCTTTGTGTAACAGCTCCGGCTGGGCTGTCCCGGAACTTGCGTTGTAGACCAGGCTGGCCATGAACTCACAGATATCTGCCT